GACTGTTGTTTTGCCATGAACTCGTTTAAAAACTGACAAATAGTCAAAATTGACACAATGGTGATGGTGTATTAATTAGAACAAAAATGACATTTTTCAGTTTACAATCAAATTTTTTTTACATTTACAATCAAACTCTACTTATAAAACAAACTCTACTTACAGTGTTTAGGAATTTTTTTAATATTATTCTGAAACAAAGGCGACAAAAACTTGAGGGTCTCTCCACCCAATCTGCATGGATACACCATTGGATAAATCATCAACTAGTACAGTTTCACTTTATTAAAGTACTTACTTTATCAAAGTACTTATAAATTTAAGATTTGTTTCATTTTGAGAAAGTAAGCTATTTGGCTTTATATAGATATAGTGTGATTCATTGCGGAAGATTATTGTAGAAGCTTTGCGGTATCATAAATGCTATCTGCGCATCTGAAACGACTGACTGTTGATACTCTTTATAGAAGGTGTTTAGTGTTGAACTTCGTGTAGGCAGTCATGTGGTTGCTAAGGCAAAGCGTCTGCCGTTGTTAAGCAGAGCTAATCCGATTACGTACTAAAGCCCGGTTCATACTCGGCGCGAAAGCGAAAGCGAACGCGAATTTGTGACGTCGTGGCAAGTATTCGCGCTGCGAATTCGTAAAAGTTGAACATATTTCAACTCGGCGAATTTCGCAGCGAATGCTTCGTGACGTCAAATTCGCTTCGCATTCGCATTCGCGTGAAGTATGAACCGGGCTTTAGACGCTATAACAGAGCAGTGAAATTCAGTATGATTGAAATGTTAAGTTATAACGGAAGAAGAAATTCTAAATTTCATGTCAGTGAAAAAAATCGCTGTCATCGATGCCGAAATACGTCAATACTGGTTACTGGTATAGCTGACCGTTTGTAATAAATCGTTCGAAAACTTGTTCGAAAAATTGATATAATGTATTTATATCAATTTCTAGGAATTTCTCCAAATTGTTATTTCACGTCTAGTTGGACACTAATATCATTTCGACGAGGATTTCTGACGACCCAACCTACGTGCATTGTTCAGCAAAGCGCCGTAGGAGCTACGGTTGACCTATTCCGGCCAAGCAACACAATAACGTATGGTAGACTTAGCATATTCTTTACCGTCACTGGGCGTGTTTTGGCGTGGGTCTCGGTATCGACCAATGGAAGGCGGCAAGAAGGGTGATATTATCAATTAATAACTCGTGAAGGAGGCTTTTCTCCAAATTGTTACTGAACACCATAATGGATAGGAACCGTATCAATATTCGTGAGGCTTGAAAAGATTGACAGATATTGTGCACGCCAGTGTTACAACTTTCAAAAATGCACGTAGCTAGGCCTATTTTTCCAATTTCAACGAAAAGTAATATACATATCATAATGATTTTTAGCACATACCTGGATCATTATAAGGGAAATAAATCCGGAAACTGCATGAAGATACGGTCTTCCAAACCGGAGAAATTAATTTTCAAAGATTTCACCCGCCAACGAGAACATGTCTGTGTACATGTAGTTTCATTCAAAATATAGTGTTACGTAACCCTTATAGATATCGCCCTTCGCAACCACAAGGCTGTAGGCTGTAATCCATGACTCAAATGACTACAAGTACATTAAACGTAGTCTTCAGTGTCAGCCTCCCCTTACCACATTCCCAAAAAAGAAAATTCCATCCATGATTTTCAACGAAAGTGTGGCGTGCAACGGGAGCCGACAGAAAAGAAAGAAATGTGTAAGCAAAAGGGTACTTTTTTATCAAGGACTTCCTGAAGTTATAAGTGAAGGTGAGGAGGATAGATTTGCCTGCAGAACATCGGACTAATAGTTCTAAGCGGAAGACATAATATATGCGGATCTTTTCTAACCCTGTATGCCAAGATAATTATACGGGCCTCATTCCCAGCAGCATATCTTTCTCGTACTCGACCATAATCAATTAAATATAGAGCTTTCAAAAACTTATATGAGAAAAGTATTTGCGGCACGAAAAATCTGCTATACACGTAATCGCCATATTTTGTGTGGCTATGTCACCGATCACCCTTTGTATCTCAGCAATTCAATGTGAATTCAAATTGCTCATAGCATACCGGGCTCCGATAAAATGCCAAACTGGTGACTCAGCACCTTTCCTCTGAATCGCGCACTTCTGCGTCCTCGCGCCGTTCATGTTCCTGATGGACTTTTCTGGCCCCATCTTACCCATTTTTCGACCCTGAAATGTATTAGGCCCAATAAAATCAGGATTCCGGGCATGGACGTCGCGAGCCCCCCCCCCCCCCCCCAGGAGGGGGAAAGGGGAAAAGAAAATGAAAACAAGAAGACGAGGGACGAATGATATTACTGTATATTTAACAACATGGACGGTATTTAACAAAGCGTCGATTGACTGTCTAAACAGCCCCACACACTCGATTTTTCCACGGCCGATGATTTCTCTCTTCTCTTCTGGTGAGTGCTACATGTCTGAATGTTTTCATTTTTCAAAATATGGATGACATGCCGTTTGGGGAGCTGTTTTCTTGAGTTTTGTTTCCAAAATATGAAATGGCGGCCGAAGGTTGAATGAAAGAACACATATTTAGGCCAGATAATAATGATTGATAGTAATACAAAAATACAAATGTTCCAATTCTTTAAAATTACAACTTTATTGTTGCGTGCATCGTAACGGTTCGCCATGACGGTTAACCATGTCATTTTGGCCAATAACTGTACAAAATACAGTTTGTGTTTAACTTGAAAGGCTCATTATGATACACAAGCAATATACAATCCTTGTCAATTTGTTTGTATTCACTCATTCCGTTAATTTGCCGAAAAATCCATCGGTGATCAATCCAAACCAAAATATAAAGGAATTGAGTGACTCTGCTTCTTATATAATTTACAGTGGTGAACCTTGGTTACACTATGGTTTGGATGGATTTTTCGTCCAAAAGGGGAATTAAAACAATAGAAGAAGATGATACGTTGTTTGTGTATCCTAATACGGCTTTCACGTGGAACACAATCTGTATTTTGTAAAAATATCGGCCAAAATGACATGGTGCACCGTCATGGTGAATCGTGTGCATTGACCATGTTACCAGCGCGCGCGTGTGTATATTATTATATTTGAGCGGGTACTACGCGCAATATCCAAATCCAATATCAAGGCTATTGTACATTCAGACAATCCCGGCCAAAATGTTTGGGACACTTTGAAATAAATTTGGCCTCCAACAGTCACAAACTTGAACTCCCCCACTCCCCCCGGTCAATGTTGTTCTCTCAAGCGGATGGAGATCACACCGCGCAATGAGAGACAACATTGAGCGGGGGCTGGGGGGTTGGGGGCCCAGCGAGATTTGGCCAGGATTGTAGCTTGTAACGCCCCTGAATTCCTAGTCAATCTGACCACAAACTTGTTTCAATTCCTCTGCTCGCCGCAATATACCGTTGCGGCAAAAACAAAACAAATTTGTTTGTTGAAAGTTCTATTTTACAAAGGAAGTTTAAAACATTTTAACGGTAAAGCCGACTCGATCTGAGCATCTTTATGCAGCAATTAATTATAATGGATTAATCAGGTCATTTCTTCCGATCAGTAATAATTTACTTTTGTCCAGGTTCTTAACATCCTGGACAGCTGACGGTGGATAAGGTGGATCGGCATGCAGAATGTGCATTTCTTGAATGTAGTTTGTAGAAGAGGAATGAACATTTGCGCGCACATTAATAAAGAAATTTCAACATCGCAATTGACTTCAGAATACTTAATGAAGAGTTAGATTATGTGGATAAAAAAATCGATCTTCTCAATGCCGAATTTATTAAGCATTCTGTAGCACTGAGGAGAATGGTCGAGTCCAAAAAGCCCAAAAGGCCAACACTTGTGGCTAAATCTAGCAAGGAAGAGCTGGCAGCGGCCAATGACCAATACGAGGCTGACAAGGCCAAGGCAGACTTTGAAAAACAATTACGAAATGCCCAGGCTGAGGTCAGAGGCAACGAAGGGATAGAAGATTATATTGACAAAATATTCGATATCGCCATAGGCGAAGTCATCAAGCATTCTGACTCATTGAGAAGGCAGGTCAAGTCAAAAATTCCTAAAAGAACAAAGCACGTGGAATATTCCAGCAAATAAAAAAGGTCCAAAATCCCGGAGGTGGGGAGGATAAATCCCCCCCGCACACTTGTTGACCAGTTTTGTGTAACTCTAATACCGACAAAATGTATTGAATATCACTAATAAATGGAGAACAAACAGTATAGAAGAGCTTTAGATGCACATTTCTGATGTAAGGTTAAGCGCAGGCTCTCATAGATCAAGTCTGCATAAGCAGGCGCGGATCGGGGGGGGGGGGAGGGTTGCTCTGACTCAAAAAATTATTTTCTTACAATTATAGTAAAATAATGTCAAATCCCCCCCCCCCCCTGCTCTAACACCCCCCCCCCCCCAAAAAAAACCCCCACAATTTTGACATTTATTCTTATAATAATTACCTATATGTCCGTCTGTCAACAACACTCCGACACAGAGGCGTAGCCATCGGGATGAGCGGGTATGTGTACACTATTATGTGCTATAGTGTGCGTTATTGAACAACGCCCCCATTGGAAGTATGGTGGACCCCCCACTTTTTTTCTGAATACTAATTTGATTTCGTTGTATGGAGCTCGAAACGGCGCATCCAGGACCAAAGTCTCTATAAACTCTCTGCATATATTGCATTTTAAGGCCTCCTCCTTGTTCATTCTGAATTTAACTATGGCACCGTCCCCAGACACAGTGTAACACACTAACATTAAACGGCCCAGCGTAATTAAGGACTCTAATCTCGAAATTCCCGAATAGGATTGAAGACTGAGGGTGGTCAAAAACTTTAGGCTGAAGCGTGTCGAAAAGAAAGTCAATAAAAAAGATTAATCCGAAGCCTTCAACTCTACCCGAGGAGGTAAGATCGAAAATCTTTCTCAAATAAATTCTGGCGCTTGACAAGTTTTAAACTTGAACAAACTGTAATGTTTAATTCGATGTGAATCAACATTCATAAAATAAGAAATCTAAAGACGTGAATCTTCACTCGTTGTTGAAGTGAGGTTTGAACAACTATTCACAAAATAAAATGGCCGTAAGCAAACAAGATGATTATAATAATCTTTAAACCACGTTGGGTTTATAAATACTCTGTAACTCCTTTACAACATGTAATAATGTTTGTTTCACTTGTCGACTTTTATTATAACGAGTAGCGTAATTTGTAAGCGTAAGTCATGTAGCTCACAAAATAATACCATAAACTGTATAATATAATTAAGTTTGCTTCAAAGTTCCACCGTATCGTCAAGGGGTTATTTCATTCCGATCTTTCTTCTTCATATCCCACAAAGGAAAAGTCGTGATTTATTTTCCGGGGTCCAAAGTCACGGAAATCAACAACAACTCCCCCAACGACAGCGGTTGACAAAGCAAACTTTGTTTAAACAATAATATCTCAATATTCATACTTTTTTCGATATGATGCAACGACGAGTTTTGTATTTTAATAAGGGAGAGTACTCCGGTAGTTAAATCTGAATCTAAATGTGAGTGTTGTTCAAATATAATGTAGCCTCAAGTACAGTCTGTTATTTGCCACTCAAATGAAATGAATTGAATTATTAAATGGTTGAACGACTAATTTTTAAAGTTTTTCATCAATTAAATTCAGTCGGTAAAAGTAATGGACAGCCTGGCGTTGCAAGAAAAGCCAAATATCACAACAAGGCAGACCTCGTGCAGTTTACCAGTTTCAATTTTTCTTTATCAATTTATTTGTCAAATGACAATAATCTTCTTGATGTAATAACTGTATTTTATTTTATAGTTTTGTTTTGCCAATATCCAACAAAAACTAATTCGACATATTTCAAGAGATGAACGTGCTATTTTTGGTTGTTGCCTTTCTTGGTTGTTTTGTCATGAACCGGTTTAAAAACCGACAAATCTAGATTGACACACTTTTGATGATGTAAGGGGTAAAAATTGAGGTGTTTTTTTAACTTTTTTTTTTCCTCACAAAAACAATAGCTGCATGGAGTTTGATCGATCCATCTTGACATATTATAAAACAAACAAAAATTATATTGTATAATATTCAAGTGTTTTCATGAATAGGCTATAGTATTCTGAAACAGAAGCAAAAAAACACGAGGGTCTCTCAAACCAAACTGCATTGGATACATCAATTTCTACAACAGCCAGGTTCACCTTATTTAACTGTAACTTATAAACTTAGATTTCTGTATCATTTTGAGAAAGAAAGCTATCTCGCTGTAGTAAAACTTCTTCTTATGTGGCGTCATTCACTGTAGATACATGAATTATAGACCCCTTACGGCTTAAGAAATGTTACGTGTACATCTAAAATGCTGAAGACTGTTGATTCTTGAGATGGTTTTTAATTATGACCTAATCACCTTCTGTAGCATTATAATCGTGGACTCCGTGAACTACATGTACAATGTACATTGTGTAGACGGAATCGTCAATGTCAACCCCCCCCCCCCCCCCAATCCCAAGATCTGCGACGAAACTTTGGAGCACTAGCCGACTGAAAAGAAATGGGTACCGGTACTGATTATTTGGTATCCTTAACTTCCTGAAGTTGTTCCAAAATTGATTAGGAGCATGAAGCTGCCTGCAAAAGTGAGCGCATGGTGCCGCTCTCCTACATGAGACCAGCAGAAGTGGCAGACTTTTTTTTTAACCCAGTAAGCCTATGTCAAGATAATTATTATCTGCACGGGCATGGTCAAAAAAAAGTTGTCATGTATTGGCCAATCATTCCGAACCGCATAACTTTCCCTCAGTCGACCTAATTAACTTTTTTTACGGTAGATCCGACCAGACACAAGCCTCTAAATGCAGCAATTGGATACACAAAGTTGAATAATAATCTTAGTGTATTATTAATTCACTTCTTCCAATTAGCGTAATGTTACTATCACGGGTCCTTAACTGTACTTGATTCCTTGATTGTAAATATTGTTGAAACTTCCACATGTTCCGTATCTTGTCAAATTGCTAGAATGAAAACATGCAAGAATGAAAAATGAACCAAACTATAACTACTCAGAAGTAACCATTAAGCATATACGTTAATTACCATGAGAGAGGTTCAGTTTGTGCTGGAGTTCATTAAAGATGTACTGTCCGTGCTCTTCTTCGAATTCGACGCTTTTTCCGTGACACATTTTAACTTGTATGTTTATATTGTAACAATTCTCTTTTTAACGCCTACAGCCTTCTGAAACTATTAAAAGGCATTATGTCGGATTTCTTTATGGCACAAACAGATCCACTCTGCGAGTAGACTGGTTCTTGATCCCTAACACCGAATACAAAAAGGGCGGGAGCAAGTTTTCTCGGGCGACATCAGTGCCACAAATAAATTCACTTTCTGAAGTTACAAAAATTTCTATAGTTATGAAAGCTTGGATGGTTATTTTAAAGAAGTGGATAACTCCTTTATTGCAAAAGAAGAATAAAATAATAAAAGCAACACAATTTGAAAACAAAAACTGTTCTGGCTGAAACTCGAAATTTACTCGGACAGTACATCTTTAATTACATTATTTAAAATGTTTTTTTATATAATGTAATTATGTAGTTTTTTATATAAAATAGTAAACTGTGGTAAGCTAAATAGTTTTAGGGAAGTTCGAGTTTCCCTAATGGCACTTTGCATCGTAGATCCTGCGTGTAGCCGGCATCTTGTGAACCGCCATATCGCCAGCTGCTGTACAGCCATTGGATCCGGGTTTCACGAGTCCTCGAACATGTATATCGAGCCTCGATCTAAACAAAAAAAGAAGTAATACAAATTAGTGATTCTGTTCTCAGAGCACACAATACTAACAATTCTGATTTTACTGCAAGTCTTTTCTTGCATATTAACTTCTGGGCCGAGGTGCTAATAAGTCTAATTCACAATAGTCGGTCAGGGCAAACTTATGTTTATGTTTTCGTGCAGCCAACGCACAAAGTCTGACGAAGATGGTGACACAACTACTTTAAGAGAACTTGGTGTCATGAGGAGAGGTGGCTAGGGAGACTCGAATGTCCTCCTTCGGCGGACTTGGACCTGTATTAGCCCGATTTAATTGTCGGTTGTATTCTCCAACGAGCAAGGTTCTCTGTAAATTCCAAAGAGTTAAAATTCACTCCATTCCAGGGAAGATTCACTCCCACAGTCGAAAACTATAGGGACTAGACGTTTTAGAGTGAAATCTCTTCAATCGTAAAGATCGAGTTTTCACTCGAGCTAGGACTGAAGTGGTTCATTTTTCAGACTATTTCAATCGAAAAGGAGAGTGATTTTCACTCTAAAACGTCTAGTCCCTAATTTCACTCCGGAATTTATATGACATAGACGATTAAACCCCAATTGACGGACTGTGTCCAAAACCGGTCGGATTTATACAAAATTTGAGATTGGCATCAAGCTACATCACTTAGTGCTTACCGATACGTCTCTGTCTTCAAATCGACCGTCCAACTTGTTAGCTTTGAGAAGATGGATGCAGAAATCTAAATGATCCGTTCTTTCCGTGTAGCCCGGACTCGTGCTGTCGATTATTCGGTCTACCCACAGATTACGACAAGTGATGGTGTTGGGAAATCTCAAGTTGTTATCAACGCTGAAAAAAGTTATGTTGGAAATCTTTCAGTTTTTTTATGACCGGTGGTACAGTTTGATGTATAGTGACTTGCTAGAGATTTTTTATTTCAAATTTCACAATAAGTAATCAAGCTCTAAACATTCCCGTTTCCAGAGAAATTTTAGTTTGGCGTGATTTTCCGATTTCCGATAGGGTATGTAAGTGAATATAATAACGACTTATCAGAATTGTTCAACTTAAGAAAAAAATCTCCAATAAGGATTTCGTTCAAGTGCGCCACGTTAGGGAGCACTCGGCCGAACCTGTGCCCAGTTTCCGACCGACACAGTTATTAATATTCGATATTAATTTGGTGAGACTAAAAATTGTTCCAAAAGTAAAACTTAATGAATTAAATTTTTTTGGAACAAAGAGGTTGTGCAAAACTACAAGGGGAAAGTCGAGGCGAACATCGAAGAACGCCACGTTATAGGGGACTCTATATAAATTATTTTCGCAGTTCATTTGTTTTGCTGACAGGAACGTCGCCCACAGCCACGGGCGGGGGAGGGCAATTTGGAACTATAAACTAGTCCATAAAGAAGATTTGCTTGAACAACATTCACTGGCAAACTAAAAAATCAAGTTTACGATGACTGCTCGGGATATTTTTTGGTTAAGATATCTTATCATCAGTTTGCTTAGCAGCATTTTCTTCTTGAAATCTCAAAGAACGTTGTCTTTTTACCTGGTTAACTGTATGCTTACCGGATATCCAGACATTCGAAGTAGTGGTATCCGTTCAGAGGGAAGATGCTGGCCTGATTGCAAGTGACAACCCGCCCGGCTACTGTCTGTCGTTTACCAATTCCAATGACTTCTTCTTGAACTGTGAGTCGGATTTGAAAGGGCGAACAGTCACAAAACACAAACATTATTAGCAGTGTCATCTCTTTTTTTCCACATTAATGTGTGCTCTTCTTTTGAGTCACTTTCAATCAAAGTCTTGTCTACAACAGATGTTTGGGTCGTAATGTCTGCTGTAAGGACTACTATGATGATTCTTTAGCTTTTCCCACGAACAAAATCTAGAAAATATCAGCATTAATTTGTACCTGCATAATCTGAACATTGTGGTTTGATCAATTTGGAGGTAGAACGATTTAAATTAAAAGTAATATGTATGATAGTGTGTACTAATTTCAGCTTCAAAGAATTATCATGTCCAAAAACATTCAAAAGTTCCCGGTGGCAGTAGTCTATTACATGTAGTAAAGACCAAAATTTAATAAATTCATAGTTACATTTGTTTTGTTTTACTATTCACAATTTTGTTCTTAAAAAGCAAATAACATCGTCCCTAACTAGGGAAATTTATAAGATCTAGCACGATCGGTGATTTTTCATTTTAAGTTCACAATACATGTACATGCAACATTTGTGGTTATGCATCGGAAATATAAAGGTGGTTAACGCCCTTAGATATTTATGCTCAGCACAGTAACTCTTCGTTTTCGCCATTTGTGGCACTCGTGCGTTTGTGTGGAAGTCGTATCGCAAGTACACAATGACGAATCGAAGACAACCCGGATGCACTGTTCTATGAATCGTCACATGAAACACTTCCTTTTAGAAATATTTTAGATAAAGAACATGCCTGGTAATTAAAATGGCCTACCTCTTTGTGTGCAGAATGGGCCAGTCCATCCTTGCGTGCACGTGCAAGCACCAGTCACGTGATGACATGTAGCACCATTCTGACACTGGCATCTCTGTGCACACGCTTGTCCGTAGCGCCCGCCAGAACAGGCGATATTACAGGAGGAGCCCGTCCAGCCGTCTGTGCATGCACAGCTTCCGTCAAACCGAGAGCAGGTGGCACCGTTAAAGCAACGACACGGACTGTTGCAGTACGGTCCATAGAAGCCTGCATCACAGGGTATTTGGCACAACTGACCCATCCAACCACTCTGGCAAATGCAGGATCCGTCAAACGTTGAACATATGCCACCATTTTGGCACTGACACTCAGCAGTGCACTCCAGACCAAACGTATTTCCGGAACACCTCCGTTCGCACCGTTGACCTACAAAGCCTGGTGGACAGACACAGGTCCCGTCGAATCTAGAACACTGGGCGTCATTTTCACAGTCGCATTGCTGCAGACAATCAATACCAAATCTGCCTTGCTGACATGGGACATCACAACGAGTACCCATCCAACCCGACAGGCATTCGCACCTGCCCGTCGACGGGTCGCAAGTTGCTTCATTCAAGCATCGACAGATCTGAGAGCATCCTGGACCGTATCTCATCGGAGGACATCTTTGTTCACATGTCAACCCATACCAACCCGCTGGACAGTTGCAAGCCCCAGTGATCGCGTCGCAGAGTCCACCGTTGCGGCAGTCGCACTGATCTTGACAATCCAGACCAAATCTATCACCGACGCAAGGTTCATTGCAAAATTCTCCTTGCCAACCGGGAGAACACGAACACGCTCCTGTTTCGCGGTGGCACCGGGCGCCGTTCTCACATCGACAGGTTTGGGCACAGTTGGTACCGTACGTGCCCTCGTCGCACTCAATGTCACACAAGACACCTTTCCAGCCGGAAGTGCACATGCATCGTCCAGTGAACCTATCACACAGGGCGCCGTTCCTGCACTGGCACAGTGCTGTGCAACCTGGACCATGTCTTCCCTGGGTACATGGCAGATGACAGTACCGCCCCATCCATCCTGTAGTACACGAACATACCCCGTCAAACCTAGAACAAGTGGCGTCGTTCCGACAGTAGCAACGCTGCATGCAGCCCGGTCCCCACCTTCCGTCCCCGCAAGGTTGATCACATTCAAATCCTGTCCAACCTGCGTCACACTCGCAAGACCCATCAAATCTGCTGCATGAAGCACCATTCTGACATTCACATCGGTTCTCACAGTTTCTGCCATAGAACCCCTCCATACATGGCTGGTTACAAAACGTCCCTTCCCAACCGCTGGGACAAATACATGAACCATCAAACCTATTGCAGCTCCCGCTATTCTGGCAACCACAAGCGTGCTGACAATTTTCTCCAAAGAACCCAGCCTCACAGGGCTCGTTGCAGTTAGGGCCAGTCCAGCCTTGTCCGCAACTACAAGAACCGTCAAATCGAGAACAAGGTGCATTGTTAGCACAACTACACCGTTGAAGACAGTTGACTCCATAAAACCCTACTGAGCACTCGATGTTGCAATCCTTACCAGTCCAACCGCTTCCACAAGCACACTCGCCGGTAAACCTGTTACATCCAGCATTGTTACTACAGGAACAAAACTGAGAACAATCAACACCCCATCGTGAATGGGGGCATTCTGTGTCACACAGGTCTCCCATCCATCCAGCTTGACAGATACAACTACCATCCACTGGAGAGCAGCTTACACGATTAGCGCATGTACAGGGGAGCTTGCATTGAAGACCGTAGAAATCTTCTGGACAGGGTTGCTCACAAGAAGATCCCATGAATCCTGGTGGACAGAGACATGCACCGTTGAACCGTGAACAGAACGCTTCATTCATACACGAGCAGGTGCCTTGGCAGTTGATGCCATAAGTACCGTGTCTACAAGGAATGTCACACGCTCTTCCCATCCATCCCGCAGAGCAAGAACAGGAGCCATCAAATCGAGAACAAGCTGCATTATTCTGACATTGACATGCCTCGCTGCAGGCCACTCCCCATCTTCCGCGCTCACATGCCAAGTTGCAAAACCTTCCAGTCCAGCCAGCAGAACACTGACAAGTCCCATCGAAGCGATTGCAGGAAGCGTCATTTTCACACAAACAGTTGCTCTCGCAATTTGGACCGTAGAGCCCTCTAGAACAAGCCGTATCACAGAAACGACCCGTCCAGCCTGCAGTACACACACATTCACCGGTGACCCTGTCACAGGATGCTTCGTTAGAACAGCCACATTCACGATCGCAATTGGCACCATAAAATCCTCTAGGACATGCAATATTACATTGGAGACCCATCCAACCAGGGCTACACTCGCACGTGCCGTCAAACCGACTGCATGGGGCGTTATTTTGACACTGGCAAGTTTCAGTACATCCTGGGCCGAAAGTACCTCTATCACATTCATCCTCACAGTAACGCCCCTGCCAGCCTGTTGTGCAAAAACACTCGCCGTCTATTCTTGAGCAGGACGCGCCATTTCGACATTGGCATGGCGATGAGCATCCCGGACCATACCAGCCATTATCGCACGGGTCTTGGCAGTTCTGGCCCTTCCAGCCAGCTGAACAGGAGCACGTGCCATCAAAGGGTGAGCAAGAGAGGCTGTTTACACACGTGCATTCCTCGGTACAGTCTGCACCATAGAAGCCCTCACGACAAGGTGTATCACAAAACCGTCCTGTCCATCCTGGAGCACAAGAACAACTTCCATCGAAACGAGAACAAGTCGCTTCGTTTCTGCATCTGCAGTTTTGTTCACATCCGGGACCATAAAGCCCTGGCCGACATGGACTATCACAAGAGGCACCGTACCAACCTGCCGTACAAGTACAAGTTCCGTCAAACCGACTACATTCTGCGCCGTTCTGGCACCTGCAGACTCCACTGCAGTCTTGACCGAAGAAGCCCGACTCGCACGGGTCAGAACAAAATAGCCTCCAGCCGGGAGGACAAGTACAAGCTCCTGTCACGGTATCGCAGATACCACCGTTTACGCAGCGGCATACTTTAGCACAGTTGTGGCCATAAAAACCGTCATCACACGGTACATCGCAGAACACTCCCTGCCATCCAGGTGTACATGTGCACATTCCATCAATGTGATTACAAATGGCACCGTTTTGACACCTGCAGATCTTCTCGCATCTTGTACCATAGCGAAGAGCACCGCAGGGCTGATCGCATATTGTTCCCTGCCATCCTGGCGCACAGCTGCAGCTGCCATCGATGTTGCTACAAAGTGCATCATTCTTACACATGCAGTTGTCTCCGCAGTCCAATCCATATTTACCTTGTGGGCAGGGGTCGGAGCAGGTGAGCCCAAGCCAGCCCGCTGTACAGCTGCATACACCCGTTACGTGATGGCAAGCGCCACCATTTTGACACTGACATTCACTGCGACAATCCTGACCAAAGTAGCCCATGGGACAGATATCCGAGCAAGTAGAACCGGTAAATCCAGGTGAACAAGTACATAAACCGCTAACGTGGTGACAAGCAGCATTGTTTTGGCAAAGGCAATCCATTCTGCATTCGTACCCAAAACGACCCGGATTGCAGGGCGCGTCGCAATACTGTCCTTGCCAGCCAGGAGTACAAGAACACTCTCCATCAATGTGACTACAATCGGCACCATTTCGACACCGGCATGCTCTGTTACATCCCAGTCCGTAGAAACCTTCGGAGCATGGCCTTTCACAGTTCCGGCCCTGCCAACCTGCAGTGCACCGACAGGCTCCCGAAATGTGGTTGCACTCTGCCCCGTTTCGACACTGACATCTCTCAGCGCATTCTAGACCGTAAAAGCCCATAGCACATGGCTCGTTACAGACAGCCCCCTTCCAGCCCGGCCTACAACGACAACTTCCGTCAACATGATGACAAGCAGCTTCGTTGTCACAGCGACATGGCGAAGTACAATCCATGCCAAACCTACCTTGTGGACATGGATCTCGGCAGAATGTTCCTACCCAGCCGGCTGTACACTGACACACCCCAGTCATGTGGTGGCAGGATGCTCCATTCAAGCACTGGCACTCTTCAAAGCAGTTTCGGCCATAGTAATTGGCTCTACATGGGGCGTCGCAATTGGCACCCGTCCAGCCGTCGAAGCAAGAACAAACGCCAGTTACATGATGACAAGCACCATTTTGACAAGTACATCGCTGGCGACAGTCCTGCCCAAACATATCGGGAGAGCAGATACTTCTACATGTCAAGCCAGTATACCCTGGAGGACATGTGCACCTTCCATCAACGTGGTCACAAGCAGCATTGTTTTCACACATACATGGAGACTGACAATTTACACCGTAGAACCCTTGGCTGCACTCGTTCTCACAAAAGTCCCCTGTGTACCCAGGAGGGCAAGAGCAACTCCCGTCTTCGGCATAGCAGTAGGCACCGGGCTGACAACGACAAGTCCTGCTACACTGAGGCCCATACGAACCCTGGTCGCAATATTCCTCGCATAATTGCCCCTGAAAGCCAGATGCACAAGAACATGTCCCAGTGACGACATCGCAAGCTGCCAGGTTGTGACACTCACAAAGAAACTGGCACCGTAAACCATAAGTACCATCTGCACATTCGTCTTCACAGTGAAACCCTTGATAACCCGGCGGACACTGACACTCTCCTGTAAACCGGTTACACCTGCCGTTATTTTCACACGTGCACCTTTGTGAACACTGAACGCCAAATGTGTTGGTCGGGCAAGCTGTACAAGGACAACAAACACGCGAAAGCTTGGGTGAAAGACACTGCTTAAAAATGTCAAAAATGATAAACTTAGTTCTGGTTCTGGTTCATGTTGAATCGGTAAAATTCACTCATTCACAAGAATACTCTCTAAATTCCAAAGAGTGATATTAGGGTCTATACGTTTTAGAGTGAAAATCACTCTAATTTTTGATTGAAAATGAACCACTTCAGGCTGAAAAATGAACCACTTCAGTCGAAGTTCGAGTGAAAACTCGATCTTTACGATTGAAGAAATTTCACTCTAAAACGTCTAGTTCCTAGTTTCCCACTGTTGGAATGAATCTGATTCACTCCAATGTAGTGAAGTTTCGCTCTTTGGAATTTAGAGAGTATCACACCAACTTAGTTTATGGTATAAAGTGAAATTATGTAACAGAGACTGGTTCAAATACACGTAAAACGTTTTGTACCTTGAGTCTTCCTACATTAAACCAAATTCCATGAATTGTATTTCCCAATCCTCGCTAGCCAGGGTAGTCTTAACTCTCACGTCATAAAACGTCCCTGCTGAACTGTGTTCACGTATTACTATTTTGAAAATCGTTGTCATCCATGATATTGTCTGCGTACATTTTGTGACGTTTCCATACACACCGAATATTAATGGTTCGTGATCTGCGAGGTCATTTTTTTCCTGTAACATTATTAGCCAATAGAAGAGAGCGTTAAAGGTGGCTCGTGGGACAATTTTTAGGCAAAACAATTATAGCGATCGTTGTGTACGTACGGGAATAATTATTATTATTCTGGAGCAGACCTACAAAATCACCAGTGAAGTTTCTTTCAGCCCCTCTAGAACTGGGTAGAGATTTTTTTTGCAATGGAGTGAGGACTTGAGCGGGCAAGTGCATTTTGCTACATAGCCTATTAGGCAGTCAAAACCCAGTGTGAAGCGCGAGTTAGGGATGGTTGTCCAACCAAACGGTATTTATTAGTTCAAGTCGGTGTTAAGCTTTTGTAAAACGTGATCCGATTGGACAGATATTGTGTCAATTTATATTTGGAAGTGTCATGAATAATTAATCACGCAAGTTGAAAATAGTAAATGTGGAATCGGTTTGCAAGGCTACCAATTTACGAGAGAAAGATTACCCTAGCCAGTGAGGATACTCTGTAAATAAACACTTGTTCAAACGACATACTCCTTACACTCACGTGACTAGTTTTCGTTTAAATAGAGTTTGACGATGAACGCAAGCGTTTAACATGTGTGATGTCGTCCAATGCTGTCATCGTTCACTATGTTATGCGCATGATCTCGTCATACACATTTGTTTTATGAATCAAAACCTAAAGTATTTCCTAATCATCGATGCGAATTCTAAATCGCCTGGTTTCATATCTCATTTGGGAATAACATTTACTACGCACCCGTCTTTTGATAATTCAGTGGGTTTTGAAATATACGCATTAGGTGTCTCAGGTATCTTCGAAAGGAGGGTGCTGATCTCCGTGAGCAAAAACTTTACAGGAACAAACGAACATATTTTGTCTACCCTAGAGTTGTATAGGCCTCTATGGCTTAAGATCATGTCACCTGCATGGACAGACACCAGTGCAACTCTCTCGTGTAACTTCCACATGTTGTACAGAACCAGTATTAAAAGAAGTGTTCTACTTCAGTCAATCGAGTCGAAGCCCGGGTCCAAGTCCCGAGTCAATTGGTTAAAATCCGACTCCGATCGAGTCACAAGTCCGAGTCAGAGTATAAGAGTCACATTATGTTCGAGATGAACGTGTAACGCGCTGTTGCGGGGACCGGGAGTGTAATAGGAAGAGGCACATTAATATAAGCAACGCTAAAGAGATGTTCAGGTGGTGTTGCAAAAAATAATATTTGTTGTTAAATGTTTGGGTCTACTTTCGAAAAAAGAACATCAGAAATATGCTTCCAAAGGACATTTTTGGTAAAACAAATATTTTACTGGCTAGATGCGAGTCATTATTAAGTTCGAGTCATAATGGTCGAGTCCGAGTCGAAGTCTGAGTCCGAGTCCGGTTCCGAGTCTTTTTGTCGATGTCCAATCCAAATCGAAATTTCGACTCATTGCAGATTCGAATCCTAGTCGTTAATAGACTATGTAATAGACCACGGCGAATCTATTATGCGTGAACATATGTCGCTGATTAATTAGGCAGGACCCCGCATCTTGACCTCCTAGATTTCGTAAATCAGAGTGCGATTTCTATATCGGGTCTTCGGTAATTCACCAGTTGCGCGTCATAGACAATGGATAAACAAAAATATGTCACGCACTCTGTATCATGTTACGCGATATCACGCCTGGCTGTTGTTGAACTACAAAACAATCCTCCGAATCGACCAATCAAATCATTTAGTCCTGATTTATAAATGAAATGACGTTGCGATTTAGTAAAATCGACTCCGATTGCCTGGCTTCTGAAAAAAGAAATGTATATAGGCCTGCACAAGTGTATGAATACTCACGTGTGTTACAGTCTACACCTGTCCAACCTGCAGGGCAAGAACATTCTTCTGGTGTCGTGCAAGTTCCACCATTAGCGCAGGGGATGGTACAAGTAGCTGCGGGGAAATGAATTATTCACGAAGAGGAATAATTGCTCAAACTGAAAAGCTGAAGTGATTCGCTTGATTTACACATGTACGGTTCGTGTTGCTGTGTTTTGTTTCTGTCACTAAGAAATGATTATAAATCTACAGATTTGAGAAACGATTCCAATAGATTGCTCTGACTACATGTATTTGTTAAAAAATAGTTAAACACATTGAGGTCTCCCATGGTACTGAAATGCAGTGTAGAAGAAAGTGTTATTTGTATTATTATTATAGGGCCTAATTATTATTATTCTGAAAATAATCACTTATATTATTATTTTTACATAATAAGAGTCCATGAAGTCTACATTATAACATTTGTTTTTAGGGTTCGAACTTTTTTTGTTTTTCAAATGTTCATCTCTGTTTCTAATAAGAAAGAACTTCCCCCTTGAGCTTGAGATACTCACGCGTGCAACCTGTGCCTGGATCGCCGGTGTAGCCTTGGCAACACTCGAGGACCGTCTCGGTAGAGGGCTCTTCCACGGGGGTTGTTTTCAGGTAGTATACCGACCTATACAGCGAAATCAAGATGCCCAAATACCCTAACTGTACTTCAAGTCAACTACGTAAGCCTAAATAACTAAAATGAGCAAATCCGGTTATATTTCATGCGTTCATGTGGATCTGATTCTTTTCATGACAGAAGAAATGTACTTATATCGTTGTGAAGTTAGTAAATCCGAAAATTTAGGACTGTAATTTTGTGATAGAATATACACTTACCATTGTCAGCTGGTGTCCAGCCTACCCTCGACAGCAAGTGGTTACGTGGCAATAACCCCCCCCCCCCCCCCCCCTTCTCACATTCGTCTGCATCGAAGCAAATAAGAAGGTATTCTGCGACTTTAAGATTTTTTTTTTACTAATCTGGCAAATTTTAGGTCAGGTAGATGCCATGGCATTTATTGACAAGGCAGCAACCTGCACGTTTCCTAGAATATCCGTAGTTACCGATATCTCGTGTATCAAAATCTGCTTCACGCTTGCTATCAGTCCTAATTGTTCAGTTTATAAACTAGAATTGGAATTTCAATGTCAGGCTATACCCTTTAACTGCATTATATCAAGGTACAGTCGTTGTGTCATATTCGCTCGTCCAGCGAGAGCTGGACTTCGCCGCGTCTTGCTCTGTTTTTTTGCTTGCATCATATAGTTGCATGTGACGGTTACCTGATGCACGATTAATGCGAGACGTTATGATCGTCTGGTTATCAAATTATTCATAGCTCCGTACTGGTAATTTGCATGGCCCTGGCAACCGTGGTTGAAGAATCTATGCTTACAAGAGCACACATTTTCTGCGCTATAGACAACACCTCCACTGCGTGCATCCTGCATCGCCTGCAACACAACCCATTATTGGTACTCAACGTCACGACATCGGGTCAGTATTAATAACTTTTATGTTTTAACTTTTTAAGTTTTGGAAGACATTTGCCTTCAACATATCAATGTTTTATCAGCTATTCCTTTTCAAGTAGTTCTATAGATTAAGACCCACGGCTACGGGAGAACAGAAGCTTCGACGGTATTCGACGTCACCCAATAGATAAGAAATTGGCTACTGTTGTTTGTTTCCATACCAAGTTTATTTTATCAGGCTCAAATTCCAGAAGTTCAAAACATGGCATGCTTTCAATATGTTGTGGAGCTTCACGTCAACAGACAGATGTCGACGGAAGTTTATTTTGTCATCGGGTTTAAATTCGAGAAGCTCAAAACATGGCATGCTTTTAATACTTGTGGAGCTTCATGTAAACAGACGGCTGACGTTTTAATATTATTTAATGAAAGTTTGTTTATTTCGAACTTCCACGCGGAATTTATAACACGAAAGATTTTTGAATAGTAATACTTACATTGAACCATGTCTTCAGATTTTTCGATAAGGCACCGCAAGGGTGATTAGCCATCCCATAGCAAGTCAGGACGGATCGGTACGTGGGTATAGGGTCAGCTTTAGTTCAAACTATATGCTCGGGCATACCAAGGGTGTTGGTGATCCGTTATATCTTTCTCGCATAATTTTAGTGAAGGACATGCAGACTTTGCTAAGCACGGTTGAGCTCAGGATTTTCGGCTAACTTTGACAGAATTTTTGTTAAAAAGAAAACAAGTTTGACAGAAAATTTGACAGAATGGATTTTTTTGGCAGATTTCTGGCAGAATTCTAGCTGCAAAAATGGTTATTTTACAGAAAAACAGCAAATTTGAACAAAAATAGTGTACATTTGTTTAAAAAAAGCTTCAATCCTTTCAAACAAACCTTTGCACAATGGGACAAGTTGGCTGGTGAGGTTCACTGGGAAACGGATTTCGAACGTGGCCAAATCCACGTTTTGCCCGAAATTTACCAATAAATTCACAACATCTTTATGTGACTAGATTGTTTATTATGTAATCTGAATCTTAATTAAGGCAATACTACCAATCTGCATGTGATTTTAAGTGTTTATAGTGTATTTTGAGTAGTTCTGGGGAATTTGGCAGCAGAGGCGTAGCCAGGAATTTTTCAGTGGGGGGGGTGGCCGCTGGGGGCTGGAACATTTCATGGGGGGGGGCGTCATGTAGATCGATGATGATTTTTTTTAGAAACTCAAAATCTCAGTGGGGGGGGGGGGGGGCGACTGGGGGGGGCGACGAGGTTTCATGGGGGGCTGTCGCCCCCCCCCCCAACGCCCCCCTTGGCTACGCCACTGTTTGGCAGATTTTTGATAAATCTGACTGATTTTTTTTTATGTGCATTTAGCAGAATTTGGCTCTAACCGTACGGTCACCCTGGTTGAGTTACCGTCATAATTCAACTTCGCTAGCCCTCGGCCCCCACACATATTGAGTCAAATTGTGGGCATACTCCTTCCTGAAATTTCGAGCCACATGATATCACATCATCAGAAAAGAGGATTTTGGTTAAGACAAAGGGTTTCGCTCACAAGTCCGACACCTCATAAGTCCTATGAGGACCTATGAGGGGTCGGATTTATGATACGACCGCAAGACAAAATCAAATCATCATCGGTTGCTATTTAAAAGATCAGACAGCTCTCACGGCCTAAACGAGTTTGTCATTAAGCGATGATAGCAGAAACTCTTTAAACAAAACCAAGCTTCCTTGCTTTGTTTTACACAGGAACTTCAGATTTGACTTCTGATATGTTAGGCCCTATTTCTTGAGGTAGCAAGTAAATAATTGCAGATGCTATAGGCCTCAAGTGCAGATCAAATTAAACAAAATTGCTCTTTTCCTAGCATCGAACTGAACTTTTAGATTTTGAATATTTTGAAGTCCGCTATCAAAATAAATACAAAAGACTAGACTCATCATGCATGTTCATGTCGACCCCTTCCTTTACTGAGTTACAGTTCTCTGAAGTCGCATATACATAGTACCCCTATTTAGCCATGTCATGGAGGAATATCGCTTCCTGGCTACTTTTCCGGTTTTGAGACACATCATTCGTTTCATGGGTGGTCTTCTTTGGGTGAGAAAAGTCAATGGTCAACCCACCGAAAATTGAAAAAAGGAAGATGTCATGTTGGAAGATGTCATGGAAAAATGGAAGATGTCATGTTGATTATCATTTTCTGTGCAGCCTGAACACCTGTGAGAGTTTGAGTATTTTTGAAAAGATTTTTGACATATGGGGATTTATCACTGGTGTCTATGGAATTTTTTTTAATCTGGTTGCACCCTTAGGAAATTTGTTTACCCGGAGACCTGGGGTCAAACTATTGAGCAGCTCTCATAGGACGAATGTATGCACTTCCGTACCGTGTGCGCATGACATGTGCGACCGAACCTTTGCGATTCTGCTTTTCTTTGACGGGATTTTGTGAAAGGGGTATAGATGAATTTCAATTAGCATTAAAACCGAAGGCTCCCCGTGCTAAGCCACTGTATGACTGGAGGACCTTTTTTAATCCTCTTCTCAAAAGACAGCACTAAGGCTCTCAGTTGCATCATAGAGCAAGGACTTTGTTCATCCAGAGCCTCTGGAAAGAGGCAGTGAAGACCAGCGAATGATGCAGCTATACAGTCCGGCGCATCCCAATGTTTAAACAAATCTATCTGAAAAGGAATGGACTGTAGCCGGGTGTGCACAGAATTGGCAGGGATATTATGTGACTGAAGAAATGGGCATTTGGTCAAGATCGATCCTCCGAGTGTAGTGGTAGTGTAGAGCAAACCTGCTCTGAAAGGGACGGTGGACCTAGCAGTGTTGAAGTCGAGTACCTTTTTTTCCGAGTACTGCCGAGTACTTATAGTAACCGAGTACTAATTCAGGTCTCCGAGTTCGAATACTTGTACTTCCGAGTAAGAGTACAAGTACTTCTATTTCCGAATACGGCTATACGGCAAAATGGTGCACAGAGAAAAATCAGGAAACTTTGATTTCTCTGCAAACCAATCAACCATTTCCAACTTAACGTATCGATAATAAAATAAGGCAGTGGTGAGTCAAGCTATACCATTTTTTTTCGAGTAGGCCTACTGCTTTTCGAGTACGAGTACTTTGACGATCGAGTACAACTTCGACATGTCGAGTACGAGTACTTTGCTGCCCGAGTACGAGTACCATCCATACGAGTACGAGTACTTTGACATTCGAGTTCGAGTATGAGTACTCTAAAAAAATTAATTAATTAATAAAACGACTCGAGTAGCTCTCAAGTACGAGTACCGAGTGTAAGTACAACAACACGGGAACCTACCCGGATAAAAATGAGGTAAGCTGTGAAAGTGAGTCACCAAGAAACCCACAGGGGAAAGGGAAGGGAGCATGATCAGAACACATGAGGCAAAGAAGGGCACACTTAAGGGCTGAGCAGTAAAAGGATAGGACGCGAAGTTCCTTACCTATGCATCACACAGGAGTCCGTGTTCTGGATGCCACAGGGAACATTGTAGGGCTCTTGTCTGACGGCTTTCACCTGTCTGTTCACGGTCACTATAATTCTGAAATGAAAAGATACAATATGGGCTAGATCCTGACACACAATACCTTCGACAAAAAGTGCGGTATAAGCCATGCCATCTGGCAGACTTGAATTCGAGTCCTTTAAACCTCGAGTCCGGGTCGCGAGTAATTGGATCCGAGTCCCAGTCTGAGTCACGAGTCACAAATCACGAGTCACGAATGTCGAGGCCGAGTCCGAATCAGGAGCCACTTAAAAGGGGGGGGTGGGGAGAACAAATCATTGAAACATTTTGTTCAATGTAATTACATCTTTTCAAAAAAATCCATCTTATGAATAGATTGGTTGCAAAACCCGCTGCTAAATCAGATTCTAACCGAATAGCAAATTGTCTTTTCCCAAACTACACCATTATACAGGTTGTTGAGCGCCCTTTAAGATACTGTCTTGATACGTACGCAGGTATGTATATTTTTTCCAGGATTTTTTGAGCTGTGTGAAAGCTCAGTTGGTATAGGGGCGTGATTTTGTTTTCCTCGCGGTTTGGGTTCGAGTCACCTCTTTGTACCCAAATTTTCTTTTCTAATCTGAGGCTTTGGAATATTTTTTTTTAAAGAGAAATAAAGTCCGAATTCATTACGTTGGAATTCATTTCTTTCTTTTTTCTAATTTTGTATTTTCTTTTAATGTTTTAGAGAAGTACGTCCAAACGCCATAGCGTTACACCCAATGCGGATGTCGTTTTTTTTTTGGGGGGGGGGGGGAATTCGCGACCCGGCAAGGTCGGTAGTTGAAAGACGTCAACACTAGTATAAAGCAGGTGGTCCTGAACTCTAGTCTAATTACAACTGTTAGGGTCAAAACTGAGTATACAATATTAATAAAAACACGTTGGTAATGGGCAAAATCCAGTACTGCATTTTCATCAGTAAACTGGAAAAATATAGGAATCCATGTTTTTAATGCACTTATAGATAGACGCAACCACGGAAGAAGCCGCGCGGTACAAACTAGTACATGTATTGTTTCAACGATTATTTTGCTACTAGAAAATCTTCAATTTTCAATTTTAAAATAGCCATTTTGTCATTTTGTCCGAGTCCAAAGTCCGTGATATCGTTATTATTGACTAAACGCCAAGCCTGGAATCAAGTCAGAGTTCGAGTCACTCGTGACATATGCCTGCCTTCTGGAGAAAAAAAACACCAACGTTTTCGGCCTAAAACTTTTATTATGTCTTTACCATGAGAGCACTGTTTTGCTTTTATCTAAGACTTGTTTTCTAATTGAACACGAAATTGAAGAATTGATGTTGTAGTCCATATCAGGCCTACCACCTTTCCCTTCATGGATTCGTGTAATATATGCTTGTCTATCCAATTTGTCCTTGCAGAGAGACCGAATGTTTACTCCATTTCAAGAGGTTTAAAAGAGTCAGGTATGAACACGGTTTCTAAATTACAGTTAGAACATTAAATTTCGTTTGTTTTTTTCCGGAAAAAACAAACCTGTGGTTATTTCTTGTTTGTGTGTGTGTGCAAGAAAATCCTGGCTTACGAAATTAATTGCGCAACTTATACGTAGTTTGATGTCTGCTATAAACAAAGATTCCCTGAAATATTTGAACTTTCGCTGAAGTCAGCCTGGTGAAAAAAATAAACATTGCCAACTCTTTTGGCGAATTTTTAATGAACATTCTGTCTAATTCAATGAACACAATGCGACATTTTTCGGGAAAAAAAACAATGACGTCAAAAGAGGCTCCCGCTTTTCGAATTGCAACGGAAAATCGACCGATGGGTGCGCTTATAAAATGTATTTTTTGCCGTGAATATAAAGGTTTGAAGGTTTGAATTGAACCGGTGAAGAAACAAGCATGTGGGTTCATTGATGAATTGATTGGTATCATTATTCATCCATCTCTTGAAATCTACAATAAGTTTGAAAAATTCAACAGATTTACGCACAGATTAAAAGCACAGATTTACGCCACTGGCCGTCATCGCACTCGCGTGGTCACGGTTCTAATCATGCCAACGGCTGCCGTTGATGTGACATTGTATTATAATGGCATCATTCCCTAGACTTAGCGTAAGTACAAGAAAAGACGATTTTTCCCAAGCTATATAGCTAAGGGAGCTGAATTAGAATCAGACAAACAAAATTTCCACGTACAAATTTGTAAACGGGTCTGTAGTTTGATATAAATATAATGAGGTAGGGGAAACCTGCTAGAAATTCTCTCAATCATAGCGACATGTCCGTGCCGGCCGAAAGACACGCGACGCGAAACAGTAATTGATGAGACAGAATAAGGACGAGCTTGGTAAGGTTAATTGCTCGTAGTGACTCTGATTAGTCAACTGCTCAGTACATAAGAATTATAGTAGAAAAGAGTTACGTAACAGCATTCATGTGTATAGCACGATGCTGATGCATCTTTCGTGCAGCTATGAAACACAAAGTAACTCTCCCACTGCGGAAATAAGGATTATGTTTTAAACGCAAAGAGAAAAGCACATACTGAAACAGCCTAGTTGTTAAGCTGTCTGACAGCGGACCCAGGGTTAGGGGTTCGAACCCGCTTGGTAACATTTTTTGGTTTTCGATGTCCGCGGTTGTGTCATTTAAGAGTATTAATTTCCCGTCGTTATTCACCAACAGCAGTTAGCTCGGTCGGTCGGTAAGCTGACTCACAAGTTGGGACTGTCTGCGAAGTCCAGGTTGGCATCTGCGTATAGGTACGGGGTTCTTTTGCTGACTCGGCAGCAAGGCTTAGGGTGCCACCTCGTTTCCTCCCTTTATGGTGCCTGGCTTTCGAGTTACATGGATGGACAGGGAAGGAGGTGTGGTGTACCGAGTCCCGGAAGAGTTCTATATGGAAGTCGGTAAGGGGCTCATTGAGTTAGGGTCATAAGTCCGACTCCTGAAGACTTGGCCATCGCCACATAACTTTTTGTTTTATTTTCTTCTTTTTTCTATCGGAGGGCAATTGCAAGAATGATAATTTTTTTTATATTGAGAGCTTTTAGGCCCAAAAAAGTCGCCGGTTTCTGGTATGGAGCTTGCCCAAAAAGTGGTGCGGCGACGCGGCTTTTTTTTTTTACCTGTCTTTTTTGTTTCAAATGTCGGCCGATGACTGCAAATGGTGCCCGACTAAACTTAGTGCAAATATATGGGAGTCCGGAGAGGCCACATAAAGCTTATTCTCGATCATAACCCCATCTAAAAACACGTGAAAATTGTGCAGCAGCAGGATTCCAGTCAAACCAGTGAGTTGGCGGTTTTGAGACATCATATTTTATTGAAAAAAAACCTTTTTCATTTTGCCGACGCGCATGGCTACGGCGACGCGCGCGCATACCAGAAACCGGAGACTTTTTTGGGGGCCTTACTGTAATCGTTCGAAATTATTTTTAAAATTGCTCGAAAATTCGAAATTCAATCCAGCTGTAATTGTTTATTCCATTGGCGCAAACTGCATGTACATGATCAGTACCTTTGCGCATACCTTGTTCAGACCTGTTTCCTGATCCCAGACTGCAGGGGGGGGGGGGTCTTTACATTTTATAGTGGATTTTTTTTTATGTTTTTATATTTTGTATATGCACAGCTGTAGCTGTCAACCCCGTATATGAAGCGACTTCGCGCGGCAATTTGTGCCGACATGACAGAATGTACAATCTTTTGCCATGGGTTTCAGATCCTGATTTTAGCTTCGCGGAGTTTTGAGCAGCGGTGTTTATTATTTAAATTCTCCACTTTGTTCTTATTCGCTCTTTCTTTCCCCTTCCTTCTCCATTCTTCGGAACACTGGTGCCTAGGGCCTACGAAACACTTAATCCGGGCCTGGTTGGGGGGGGGGGGGGTCTGACTCTAGAAGGTGTTATTCAAACAGGTCTAGGCCTAAGTGTCGATACTTACGGTTTCTCATATTCACAAACGCCAACAGTTTGTCGCGGCGGGAGAGCTTTTTCATCCACGTCTGGGCAATCCTGAGCCTGACAGAGGCCACAGACAGCCAGTGTGACAAGCAACCAACAAAGGTCCATCTTCTCTCCACCAAAGACTCCACAGTCTCTGGCCCAACTTTCCACCCTACTACGAGTTTTGTTGTTTATGCCGGTGCGTTTACATGTTTTGTTTTGCATTTTTTTACTGCAAAAGCATTTCAAGAAATTCCAATCGAATTCCAAAACAAAGACAACTGTTTTCCCTTGCTTGTCGCTATCGCTCCTTTTGTTCTCGATATTGTGTTTAATCAAACAATGGTTTCGGTCTATGAGAAACGTTTGTGGTCATTGATTGTTTTGCTGCTGAAAGAGGTATTTTGTAACAAAATGAAAGTGATGCGATGATCATACATTTCGGAATGTCACCACGAAAGTCATCGGCGGCCGGGGTGGGGTGGGTTACCGCAAGGAGATTCCACCCCTTCCCTCTTGAATACTTTTTTTTTATTCGCTCAATTTTTGATACATGGCATTTGGGGTCCACGTTTTTTCCCCTTTTTCCCTGTTACATCTGACATCTTAATTCTGATGCGCTCCTTAATGCAGTCATTTTCCAAAAGTGATGATGAAGAGGAAACTACCTACCCCAACAATGAGAAATCGTTTTTTGAGGAAGTATTTTTTTAATGATTGGCATACTTCACTGCCAAATTACAAAGGTAACAGGGACAGATTAATGTTACACTTTAGACACTTTCAAAAACATTCCATCGTTTTTTTACGCAAGCTGATATAAATAGAGGTTTTAGAGTCTGGTATTAATAATTTACTATTTTCAGCTCGATATAAATTCTGTGAACTGTTTCGGTTATTCTTTAGAATTCTTTGTTTGCTTTGGTTGAACGGAAGTTATGCAAAACATTGCATAATTTGTCCACATGACAGTGCTTAACAGGTGTTTACAAAACCTTTTCTCAGAGACACTAAGCTGTCATGCTCAAATATTCATCACTTCTCATCCCCTGGCGAACCCCAACACATTTTTATTTTCGAAATCAAAATTTCTCAAAAACGTCAAAACTAAGCTTCGTATTACGGCAATGATCTGTTGACAAATTTCATTTAATGATTTCCGCATGCAAGGGAAACATGCCTTTTTAAAGGGAAAAAACTACCACACTCCGCATTTATCAAAATTCAAGATTTCAGGAATTAATATGAAGTGAGACTGCAGAAATTAATATGAAGTGAAACAGATTAAAAAAAAATCTTATAACTATCTTATCCGCCAATCATCGTGCAATTTGTAATTGTGCCTAAAAAGTAGCTTTTTCTGTTTGGAAATATATTTCCCCAGGGAGCTACGATCTAATCGCAAGGACAAATTTCAGCTTCATTTCGACTGTGTCAAATATTTCCTTCTAAATGCCCCATATTATTTCTTCGCAGAAACTGCGCATGCTTCACAAACCCACCGCTTAAAAATACACTGGAATCGATATGATTGACAGGAAAAATAGATACTAAAACTGCTAAAACATTACAGAGACCTTATAATCACCACCACCCCCCCCCCCAAAAAAAAAAAAATTGGGGGATAACAAAACATTTTTTTGTCGATACCGTAAGTGTTGATAACAAGGCATTCCATCAGCAGATTGTACACAACATACCCAGCTCTAATCAGACACTAACCCCTGCTTGAACCCAACCCATGAAAGCTGAGGAAATTCTTTACACCACAACGAATCATGTTTGCAAAGTCAACTTTTTTTCCCCAAATCACTTGCCACGCCCGTACCAATCAAGGGTGGGGGTGTGCCGACAGACAATTGCGTGTACAGCTCCAATTAGATACCGATCGTCCACCACGTCCGTACTTTCGAAATTGCATGATGCAGGGGATAATGGCCGGGCGTTAAATGCGGCTAAAACAATTCGTGCTCATGCAAATATTTATACAGCGCCCCTGGAGACATGGCATCCAGTTCTCCCCTCTTCTCCCTCCCTACTCCCGATTTACCACCGGCCGTACGGACAGAGTTTGAGAAGGACATCATATCACACCCACGAGAAGGACGTTTCTGAAAACCAAAGTACAAAGTTTATAATCCAACTAATATTAAACGCCACGGGACTATAGTTTAGGCACTAGTTGACAGTTGTTAAAGTCATCAGTGGCTGTCACGACCGCGCCTGTGTCAATGTTGCGATTGCAACATAGGCCTAGTCATAATGAGGAAGGAATTCTTGCTATTGCAGTACAGCCCTACATACTGTATCGATATAGTCTAGATAGCCATCTACGGTCTTGCAATCCTTGCAGCAATAATTCTAGATGCAATGTTACTGTCGGACCCCATTCCAAAGCAACCATACCGCCGCGGCGTCAAGTAGGATGACAAGAACATTGGTTATTTAGCGCAATCTACAGAGAGCGCAGCTTATTTTGAGGATTTTAACACTTTTTTCCGTCAACATATCGCCCCCTTGAGCAGCACCGATATCATTGTGATAAATCTTGACATCACGCACGGACGTAGGCCTAGCTCACTCATCAGCATACTGATGACATTGACAACCAGTGCCTAAACTTTACAAATTCCCGCGGCGGCAAGGGGCGGCCGCGCGATACGCCCTCATCGTTCAGTATTAGTTAGAATATAAAGTTTGTCCTTTGGTTTTCAGAGACGTCCTTCTCGTGTGTGTGATGATGTGCTTTTCAAACTTTGTCCGTACGGCCGATGGGAAATCGACTGTAATTAGACTAGCGTCTAATTCCGTGCAGGTGAGACGTTCGTTTTTATCAAGTTGAATGATGTAGTGATCATTGTTTTGTTCTTTGTTTGATTTTGACTTTTATTTCTGTTTTAATAAATACTTTGCTTGTTGTTTTTGTCCTTTGTTCGAGTTTGTCTCTTCTTTGGTAAACTGTTTTATTGATTATTATTTTGTCTTTTTTTTTGTATATATGTTGTTCTTTTCTTAAACGTGTTCTTTGATTTCAAATTTTGTCCTGTATGCCTCTTAATGCGTCTGTTTTACATCTTATTAATTTTGGCCTTTTTGGCCGGCCATACGGCTTGAGTGCCAATAGCTCATATAATAAGTTATAACCTGAGTCGAGAAGATGCCATTTATAAACCTTTATTTGCACTACCAGCAATATGGGCCTACATACACCAATTGTAACAAAGTAACACAACACACCAATTGTAACTAAGTAACACAACATTAAACATTAACACACCTTTGCCATTGTAAACTAGAAAGCACTCACAGAGCGCAAACCTCCGCCAAGGCTAAACAATTCCCCGCCATATTGTCAGTACATGTATACCCAAAAGAAATACTCGTATAAATGGTGAAGAATCCTTTAAAAAATCCTGGATCCAGACCCAGATCGGCATCACTTCCAAAATGTAATGGATTTTTGTACTTGTACCAAGGACCACCCCTAAAAATAGTTTAATGCAAATCCGTCCATAACTTTCTGAGTTATCTTATTAACCGACAAACCAACCAACCAACCAACCAACAAACAAGCAAACTAACCAACGCCAATGAAAACATAACCTCCTTGGCGGAGGTAATAAAGTAGCATGATTACGACCTAGTTTAAGATACACAATAAAAAAAAAACAATCCACAGATTACATTATGTTTAAAAGCTTAATAGTTTTTCGGCCATTTTGACGAAATACAGCTAACAAGCTAAGAAGTTCCCCTCTCAAAATTGTGCCCCTCTCAAAATGGAAAACTGGCCGGTAAAGAAATAATAGTGCTCCTTACGCTTTTCAAATGTAATGCAAACATTTTTAAAAGTGTATATCAATGTTGGCAGTAAATTTTGCTCTGGGTAACATGTATTCCTTGCAATGTGAACGAAAATCGTTTCACAATTTTCACACCGACGGAAGGTGCCTTTTTTCTGAGCAAATGCTCCTTTTTGGTGATGCCCCCAGTTTTAAAAACGTTCCGCCGCCGCCGATTGGCGTATTACATGTGCAGGTAAAATTATACTCGCTTGTTAAGTACACAATACGACCCCAATTTAGATCGTTCAGTCGCCAAAGGTTCATGGATTTGCTTTATTTCATCTCAAGGCCTTTTTTATGACCGTAGACTTGAGTCAAGACGTATGGCAACCCGGACACACAAAAAAGACCATGCGAGTGGCAGGCTTGTTGGCTCCGTGCGCCGTCATCAGGGGCGTAATTCCCGGGGTGATGGTGGGGTGGGGGTATATACCCCCACACTTTTTGAGCGCGGGGATGGGCTATTGAATAATTCCCCACTTTTTTGTGATGAGAAAAAAATGAGGATTTCGAGGTATTTTCCGAACGTCCCAGCAACTAAAATGTATTCAATAGCACTGGAAAGTGGAGAAACACAGTGCTAAAGCTTTTAAAAATGTAAGCGTGAGTATACATAATTGATAAATTTGCCTTTTTCTTTTCTTTGTATCAATATGGTGTTTTAAATAAGGCGGCAGAATGCCATACCCGAATTTATAACCACTTAGCTAAAGTTGTTTAAAGACACTCATTCAAATGGGCCTTGTTTTGTAGACCGTAATTTGAAAAAAACTGACTCGCCATGGCAAACACTTGGTGGCGCACTGCATTGTGAATCGCCCGAATTTTATGATTTTGGTCACCCCCATCCCCCCCCCACTCGCCAGCACAGATTTACGCCATTGGCCGTCATCGCACTCGCGTGGTCACGATTCTAATCATGCTACCGGCTGACATTAATGTGACATTGTATTATAATGGCATCATTCCCTAGACTTAGCGTAAGTACAAGAAAAGACGATTTTTCCCAAGCTATATAGCTAAGGGAGCTGAATTAGAATCAGACAAACACAATTTCCACGTACAAATTTGTAAACGGGTCTGTAGTTTGATATAAATATAATGAGGTAGGGGAAACTTGCTAGAAATTCTCTCAATCATAGCAACATGTCCGTGCCGGCCGAAAGACGCGCGACGCGGAACAATAATTGATGAGACAGAATAAGGACGAGCTTGGTAAGGTTAATTGCTCGTAGTTACTCTGAATAGTCAACTGCTCAGTACATAAGAATTATTGTAGAAAAGAGTTACGTAACAGCATTCATGTGTATAGCACGATGCTGATGCATCTT